AGCAGCCACTGGTTTCTTCCCTACCCCCTGATTTTGGGAATTCAAGCTGAAAAAGGTTTGCCTCCACTGGTCTAGGAGAAGCCACTAAGAAGACCTTACCTTGCCTTCTTACCAACTGTGCCTATAGTGGTGGTGATTGATTTGCACCCAAAGATGTTAGAGAATGTCTTGGCTTGTTTGGAAAAATGTGGTTTCCTGTAGCTTGGTCCTACATTGTCTAGGGTTATATAGGGTGCAGTCAACACTTTGAATGGTGCCTAAGAACAGAATGGCAGCCCGTGAAAGTGCAGAAATAATCCAGCCACATGCTTCCTGTCACCAGCCTTCACTCAATCCTCTGGTTACAGATTTCTGCATTGCTTCAGGTTTACAAATGCTTTCCAAAGGGAGTCCCATATCATCCTGCTTTAAGGTTGCAACCTTATATTCTTTGATCTGGAAGCTAAGCCTTGATCCCAATAGAGCTTCTTTCTTTGTAGACATGAGCAGGGTTGCCTTGTGAGGTAGATGTTGGTGGAAGAAGTGTCCAATTTTCCCACCTCTTCTCTGCAAGAAGAATTTTCGAGGAATGATGCTATATATGGCTGTCTAGTCGGGAGTGAAAGAGCCCTCTGTCTTTACACATTGTCTTGTCATCTCATCCAAGAATGCTCTCTTATTCTGTTATAATTACATCCTCTTTCCTTTTTTTTGCTTGCAATATGTTCCAGATGTTCCCTTGGCCTACCTAATAACAAATCCTCTGTATGTCTTCCTCTCCAGAGTGTGTTCAAACTCTTTCCCATCCACCCCATCCCACATTGTCGTAGTGGGAAAAACAGAAAAGCTTTGTTGCTTCTAGGCTTGCATTCCCATGCTGCTATCTATGCCAGCTTTGGAAATGATGGGGTCAAGGGGCAGAGACCTATATAGTGCCCAGAATTTTACAAATTTAAAATAGAGATGATCTTGTAACCTCTGAATTCTCATATCCCTTCAGATCTAGCCCTGCCTGGGAATTTGAAAGTATGTCGGTTTAGTTTTCTGTCCCATTCCACTTCTCTTGTACATCTCAAGTGCTTTTCCTCTTGAATATGTAGGAATGTACAGATTTTTAAACATTGAAAAAGTAAACTGAATTGAAATATGTGTGTACTTGCACCAGTAAAATTCAAAAAATATAGATGTTCCCATCATGGAGAGGACCACATTGCATTTGTCTGCCGTATAGGCAAAGATTCCCCTTGACATTTAGTCCAGTCGTGTCCAACTCTAGGGCACGGTGCTATTCCCCATTTCCAAGCCATAGAGCCAGTATTTTGTCCGAAGACAGTTTCCCTGGTCACGTGGCCAGCGCGACCAGACACGAAATGCCATTATGTTCCCACCTTGGTGGTACCTGTTTATCTACTTGCATTTGCATGCTTTCAAACTGCTAGGTTGGCAGAAGCTGGGACAAGCGACGGGAACTCACTCTGTCGTGTGGATTCAACCTTACGATGGCTGGTCCTCTGACCTTGCAGCACAGAGGCTTCAGCGGTTTAATCCACAGTGCCACCACGGCATATAAGAGTTAAATATAAAAGCTTCTTGAAAGGGAAATGATGGCAACCCTAATAACAGGAATGGAAACCTACACTTTTAAGAATGAAACCTTCAAAGAATTATCATCCATCCCTAGCTGTAATGATGGCTAAGAAGAAGAGTGATTTGTTGGGGGAGTCCAGCTGTGTGCAACACAGAGAAGATGGTGACTTAGATTTTTTTAATGATTTTCTTTTCAGTTGAATCAACAGAACAAGACCTGTTCTTGATCAAGGTTCATCTTTAGTACAGCTTTATATACAGCGAGAACACCATAGGTGTAGTACTTAAGTATTTGCTTAAGTTTCTCTTAAATGTTATTTATGGTAGAAATTCAGATGAGACACAATATGGGTTCAGAGGAGGGTTTGATAACAATGAAACATTATTCTGCCCTGGGTACTTACTTGGGCAAGGATGCCGTAACAAATACACACACACACATACACACACAGAAACACACACAGAGAGAGAGAGGCATGCTTGCTTTATATATGAGAAGTCCTTTTGACAAAGGCAAACGTGGTAAGCTAATGGAATAGTTGGCAAACAAAAATCTCGATTCCAGAGATATTTGGTAGCTGGCGTTGGGAACACAAAGCTTTAAAAAAATGTTGAAGATCAGCTGAGAGGGGGCATAGAAATACAAAGGGGAACATAACAAGGATGTACAGTTTCACCACTGCTTTTCAACTGAAATATCCTTAGAGAAGAACTTGCTGATTCAAATGATACTATCATTGTCAATGAATATATTATCACCGTCTGCTGTGTAGAGAATAACAGTATTACTAGCTGGCAGTGGGCCAGAAAGGGTGCTCAGTGGAGTCAGTGAAATGTGTGATGAATACAATCTAAAAATGAATGTTAAGAAAATCAAGTTCATTATAGTACGTAAAAAACAAGCAGACTAAGAACTACTGTTAAAGATCCAAAATGGATCTTTACTGTTAAAGATCCAAAGATACCATATGGAATATGGTAATAAATATTTGTTGTTTTTGTTTAGTTGTTAAATCATGTCCACTCTTCATGACCCCATGGATCAGAGCACGCCAGGCCCTCCTGTCTTCCACGGCCTCCCGGAGTTGGGTCAAATTCATGTTGGTCGCTTTGATGACACTGTCCAACCATCTTGTCCTCTGTTGTCCCCTTCTCCTCTTGCCTCCATATCTTCCCCTTCTGTTTGCCAGGAGGTGATGGGACCAGTAGCCATGATCTTAGTTTTTTTTTATGTTGAGCTTCAGACCATTTTTGCGCTCTCCTCTTTCACCCTCATTAAGAGGTTCTTTAATTCCTCCTCACTTTCTGCCATCAGAGTGGTATTATCTGCATATCTGAGGTTGTTGATATTTCTTCTGGCAATCTTAATTCTGGTTTGGAATGCATGCAGTCCAACCTTTTGCATGATGTACAGTGGTGCCTTGCAAGATGAAAACAATTGCTAGCGTGTGAAATGAGTGCAATTGTATGGTAGTTGGAATATTCTTTGCCATTGCCCTTCTTTGGGATTGGGATGTCGATTGATCTTTTCCAATCCTCTGGCCACTGTTGAGTTTTCCAAACTTGCTGCCATATTGAGTGTAGCACCTTAGCAGCATTATCTTTTAAGATTTTAAATAGTTCCACTGGAATGCCATCACCTCCATTGGCCTTGTGGTTAGACAAGCTTTCTAAGTCCCACTTGACTTCAATCTCTGGGATCTCTGGCTCAAGGTCAGCAACCACACTATCTGGGTTGTCTGGGACATCCAAATCTTTCTGGCATAATTCCTCTGTGTATTCTTGCCACCTCTTCTTGATGTCTTCTGCTTCTGTTAGGTCCCCAGCATTTTTGTCCTTTATCATGTCCATCTTTGCACAAAAGGTTCCTTTAATATCTTGAGTTTTCTTGAACAGATCTCTGGTTTTTCCCTTTCTATTATTTTCCTCTATTTCTTTGCACTGTTCATTTAAGAAGGCCCTCTTGTCTCTCCTTGCTATTCTTTGGAAGTGTGCATTCAATTTTCTGTAACTTTCCCTATCTCCCTTGCACTTTGTTTCCTTTCTCTTCTCTGCTATTTGTAAGGCCTCATGGAACAGCCACTTTGCTTTCTTGCATTTCATTTTCTTTGGGATGGTTTTTGTTGCTGAGAATGTGCTGATTTTTCTGGCAATGATGAGCTTCCTTTTTCAACTCAGAATTTCTTGGGCTTGCTTTTAGAGCAAAGTTGGAGCATTCAGAGATTCGACTCTGTAGCTGTTTGTTTGCTTTGGGTTAAAAAATATGTACTGGAGACTTGATCCTTTCACTGAGCTGTTCAATATAGGATCTATGGAATTGTGTAACAGTGTTAAGTGTATTCAGAATCCAGTGCTAACTATAGACAGGAACACAGGGTCAGGAGGAGATGCTATTGAACTGTACTATTCCAGAATGGGAGTGAGAAATAACATGTGAATATTTTAACTACTTCTTATTCTCCTTCTTCATTTATTTCCTGCAGTTAGAAAACCATTGTGTGACATAAATGGGTAGTTTGCAGTCTTTTTTGTTGCTGCATTTAAGAACAAAAATCTATGAAGTAGCATTTTTTTTGAGATGGCCCAATCACGCACCCCTCCTCGCTGTTGGAAACACAGGCTAACAGGGGTGGGAGGCAGAATTCTACGGATGGCGTGTTTTTAGCTTTTTAAGAGAGTTTTCAGGCCTGCCAAACAGCTTACATGGCTATTAGGAAAAGCTAAGTGGCTGCAAATGCCATTGGAGATCTTTGGAAATCAGATTTTTTAGGATTGCTGGGCAGTTTGTGTGGGTGATGCTAGCATGTCTTCCAACAGTGAGAATGTCACATTCACGCAGCATTTGCCAGAGCAGGGAGGTTTTAAATACTTGCCCAGTCCAATGAGGGAGCAGTGGGGAACTGGGTCACAGCTCTATATATGTATGTGTGCTCCCCAGTGGATTCCAGAATCTCTCTCTGAATTTTTGGTTTTCATTTGAAAATAAAGAAAAAAAAAGCCTTTAATACTCTTTTTTATTTTCTGAGCCTAAGAGACCATAACATATGCTTTTCGGCAGAAGACATGAAACCAGTTTACTAGCATTTCCAGTGGCCTTTTATTATTATGTGCATGAGTCAAACTTGACTAGGAATTTCTCAGCTTCTATGATCCACCCCCCTCCAAACCAACATCTTTAGAGGACTCTGGAAGTTGTGATCCAAAATGCAATTTTCCCAAGCTCTCACTTTTGTATGAAACCTTGCAATCTTTGCATCTTTCTTTCGGCTTTTTTTTTTTGTCCTAATGAAATAGGTTTTGTGTTTCTTCCCTCCTCCTGATCCTTTTTTATTATTGCATGGATAAACATATCTTCCCTTGCCAACGACATTTTCAAAGGCTGTTCACTCACAACCTCGCCTATCCCGATTCTAATCCTGGTGGTTTTTGTTCAGCTAGGATTGTGCCTCAGCAGAGCCTCGGCATCGGTCCTTAACCTCAACTGCAGCCTTGTCTTACTGCCCATGTGCCGGATTCTCCTGGCCTTTCTCCGGGGATCTCGGAAGGTAAGAGCGATCTGTCTGGGAATAGCTCCATGATTTGAGCTTATAGTGCCTCATGGGGTGTCAAGAGATGAGTTCCAAACAGATTTTAGAAAAGTTATATATTTTGAACTATAGCTCTGAGGGTGCATCGCCAGCAAGACAACTAGGATTCTGGGGTCTGTCATCCCAAAAGTCCACCTCGCTCCTTCCCCTTCATTACCGATTTCAAGCAACCCTCACGTCTTCTCTAAGGAGCCATAAATGAGACTCAAGGAAGGCTCAGGAGAGAAAGTTTTGTGAAGGAATGAAAGAAGTGGAAGTTAGAAAAAAAATTCTCCAGTTTTTTGGGCCCCATGCTCCCATCAGCCACCCCTGCTGTAGGGTTTTGATGTGTGCCCTCAAACCAATGTACGGCCTTCTGCAAATTGGTGTCCTCCAGATACTCCCATTCCCACTAGCCCCAGATTCAGTGTTCAGAGATGTTATGATTTCTAATCTTAATCATCTGAAGAGCACCAATTAATGTTGGCCCCTATCTTTCTCCCTAAAGGGCTACATTGGCCTATATAAAACTTGCCCCCTTATCTTTCCACCAGCCTTTGAAGCAGGTTAGATTGAGAACAGATGTCTGAAGTTCAGACTGAACATTCTGTCCTGTGTGTTGTCCTTTCTCTAGTGGACAAGACAGGGTGCTTAAGAGTTCTTGGCGCAGTGTTATGGGCTCTAGTGCCTTCTCCAGTAGGAAGCCAACCTGTTCGACCCTGTCTCAGCCTAACTCACTTCACAGGTTTGTTGTGAAGCACAAACAAAGAATCTTGGAAATTTTTTTATTTAAAAGGGTGGAGGGAACACCAAAATATACCCAATTCACTCTTAGCTGGATGGTATAAAACAAATGACTTTTCAAGCAACCCACGCTATACAAATATAAACAGCAGCTGCTTAATAAATGTCTCATCTGTAGCAATCAAATGTGACCTGCTATAGAAGACAGGTTGGCTGTTCATGCTGGGAAAGGTTCAATCACAAAATCACTGTTATCAGCCATCCGTTTGGTTATTTCTTTATTTATTTTGTGTTCTTGTGTGCCGCCCGGTTTTGTGACAAGCACTACTCTTGAGTGGTTTACAATGGAAAAATATTCCCGTGGATAACATGAACCAACAACAGAATCAACAGTAAACAATCAAGTAAGAAAAAGGGACAAAGAAACCAAAATCTAATAATACTTAACCTGAAGCCTACAGGGTTGGTGGGACTGATGGTTTGAATATGTCAAAACTCAAGAGAGAACAAAGCTTCTTGGAACATTGCTGTCCTGAGCATCCTTTTGAAGGCTGGGAGGGAAGTGGGGCTTGGTAAAGCTTAGTCCCTCTTCTACCCATGTGTCACTGTTTACCCAGCGGCCATTTTTCCATCTCCCTCTGCAGCAGACCTGGCGAAAGTGCGGCCTGAGGGCCACATACGGCCTGTGAGCCACTCCTGTCCAGGCCACATTTTGAAGATCAAAACCATTTACTGTATAGCTTTTCGTCTAAAGTTGATCAGTTGCTTATCTTTAACATACCACCAAAAAACCTCTTTAGTATTTGTGAAAATGAACCAGTTTAAAATAAAAACAATCATAACATCACAGTTTCATTTTATTTTTAAGTAAAGTTGGTTTGGCCCCTGAACACAGTTCAGATTTTTCATGTCCCCCCCCCAAGAAATTAATTGCCCACCCCTGCTCTGCAATCTGCAACTCTCCACTTGGTTGATACGGGAAGTGATTGTACCAGCACTTGTCTTTCCGTTTTAAGGCTGTTTGGACCCCACAAAAGTCACCAAAGGTCCTGAAATAGCCTGAAAAATGGAATATCACATCCCCTAGAAGTTTTGGACAGCCACAACGCTCCCACCGCCTTGCCTTCGTTGAACTAGTGCTTCATGAAAAAGGAGTGACATCTCTGCCTTCTTCTTTTCCCAGATGCCCAGCCGGAAAGCCAGGAGGCTGCTGGATAAGAGCAAAACTTTCCACGTGACGTGCGGTGTGATGATATGCATCTTCTCAGGTGCGTTGCTCTGGAGCTAGGAGAGCAGCCACGAAGCACGCATAACTTTGCAAGCGCTCTCTGGTTTTTCTTCAGCTGTACATGAGAGGGTACTCTTGTTCCATATTTCTCCCTGGAAACCTGTGAATGTTTTCTCAATTTCTTGTCATCTCTTTGAGCCGAGGAGGTCTCCATCGGGGTGCGCGAGGATCCTGGCCCTGAAGGCTTGTCTTTTTATCTTGCATGTACAATCCTGCCGAAAGCTTACTGGCACAGAACTGGTCCCTGGATCAAGTGCAGCCAATTTAAACAAAGCAGCACAGAGGTTGGTTCAGAGAGGGTCGAGCTGTAGACAGATTTTTTTCTCTGTGTAGCCGATGCCTGACAGATATTGAGGGCCTCTTTTCTAACCTACTGTCTCATCAATTTTAGCTCTTTGTCTCCTTTATAAAAGCCTTATTTGCTTTCAAAATAGGTTGACACAAGTTCCAGTTTAATCTTATTTTTAAGAGTGGTGGAAGGACAGAATATACCACATGTATGATTGTTCTATCCTCCCAACAGAGGAGAACAGCCACAGGAAGAGATGATAGGGTGGTTTTGCTGCCCCCCAGGATCTGCGGCCAGAGGCAGTTGCCTCATTGCATTGGAGGAGGGAGATGATGATAGTAAGATTTAGCACCAGAGGGTCCCTGATAATGCTGACCAGCTGCCATTCTGTTATTACTGACAGTGGATGACCAGCTGCCATTCTGTTATTACTGACACTGGATGGGTAGTTGTATGTGTGTGTGTGCGTGCGTATGTGCATGCATTTGTTTGTTTGTTTGTCTATCCCTGCCTTCTTCAAAAGGACTGAAGGTGTTTGTCTATCCCTGCCTTCTTCAAAAGGATCCAAGGTGGTTTATAGCATTAAAAGACAATACAGTGGTATAAAAACAATACAGTGGTGCCTTGCTTGACGAATACCTCGTTAGACGAGGAAATCACTTGACAATTAGTTTTTTGAGATCGCTATTGCGATTGCTAGACAATGACTGAATGGGCTTTTTTCACTTAACGTTGATCAGTTCCCTGCTTCAGGAACCGATTTTTCGCTTAACGGTGATCAAAAACAGCTGATCGTTGGGTTTCAGAATAGTTGCCCGTTGTTCGAAATGGCTCCCCGCTGTGCTCACATTACAGGCACTGGAAAATGGCCACCCTATGGAGGATCTTCGCTGAACGCTGGAATGCATTGAACCGGTTTTCAGTGCATTTCAGTGGGCTTTTTCATTTCGCTTGACGAGGATTTCGCTTAACAGCGATTTGAACGGAACGAATTATCCTCATAAAGCAAGGCACCACTGTATTTAAAGCTAAAAACAGCCAGTATACAAATACTAAAAAGGATCAAACAAATGCTACACTAAGAGATGGTCATACAAAACAATATTAAAAGCAAAGCAAAGCAAAGTGTGCTGCTTATATATAGCCCTATAGTACTTCAAGCACTCTCTGGGCGGTTTACAAGTTAATTATGCAGGCTACACATTGCTTCCCCAGCAAGCTGGGTACTCATTTTACTGACCTCAGAAGGATAGAAGGCTGAGTCAACCTTGAGCCGGCTACCTGGGATTGAACCCCAGGTCGTGAGCACAGTTTTGGCTGCAGTACAGCGGTTTAACCACTGCACCACGAGGCTCATAAAAACATATTCAAACCAATAAGGGGCAACCAACCATTAAAAAACACCACTCAGGCTGCCACTCACTTGAGGGAAAGCTTACTTAAAGAGAAAGGTCTTTGGTTGCTCACAGAAAGACAGCAAAGATGGGGCCAGTCTGGTCTCCTGTGGAAGGGAGTTCCAAAGTCTGGGAGCAGTGACAGAAAAGGCCCTCTCCTGTGTCCCCACCAAACATGACTGTGAAGATGGTGGGACTGAAAGATGATCCTAACACCTAGACAGGCTCACGAAGGGAGATGTGGTCTTTGAGATAGCTTGGACTCAAGCCATTTAAGGGGCTTTATAGGTTAAAACCAGCACTATGAGTTGTGCCTAGAACCGAATCAGCAGCTTCTGAGAGTTTTAGTCCACGAACATCTGGGGACCCAAGGTTGGCAACCATTGAGCTAGAGTCTGCCTTGTATACGTTAAAAAAGAGTTTAGATTCATTTGACAAGGGCTTTCAGTATGAAATATTCAGAGACCTTTCAGGTGACCTGAGATCTCCCTTCTGTTTCAGTGATTCATGTTGCTGCACACCTGGTGAATGCTTTGAATTTTTCTGTGAATTACAATGAGCAGTTTATTGCACTCAATGCAGCCAGCTACCATGGTGAGGTGAGTGAACAGAGCTTCTTCCCTCTTCCCCTCAAAATTGCTGCCTCCTGTCTTTGGATGGCTTTTCACCAGAATACTGTTGGGAATTCAGAAGTGGGAAAGGTTTCAAGGCTATGTAAAAGTTCAACTGGGTCACTCGGTTACTCAAAATCTGAGTAATCAGGCATAGTCCTTTGAGTCTATATCAAAGAGCTAGATCAAGGATGAGAAAACTAGGTGTAGAACGTTCACATTTCTTCGATTTCAGCCCCCAGAATTCACCAGGAATTCACCAAGCCAGAATTCAGGGGACTATAGCTAAGAGTCGGACACGACTTAACAACTAAACAACAACAAAATAGCTAAGAAATTGAAGCAATTTGTGCTGCTTACATACCTCCCCTTAGTGTTTAAAGCAATCTCTGGGCAGTTTACAATTTAATTATGCCAGCTACACATTACCTCCCCCCGAATCCAGCAAGCTGAGCACTCAATTTACTGACTTAGGAAGGATAAAAGGCTGAGGGAACCTCAAACTGGCTTCCTGGGATTAAACCCAGGCTGTAAGCAGAATTTGGGTTTCCGTACTGCAGTTTAACCACTGCACTACTAGGATCCTTAAATTAAATTCCTCACAGGAGTTTTCAGATAAACACAGGTGGAGAATGAAGGCTCTGGCAGCCATTATAAAAAGAAGAAGTGGTTGAGAGGGCCAATGCACCATGGATCTGCAAGGAATTAGTAGTTTCTTTTTGAGAGAAACTCTGTATCGAGCCCAATGGCCGGAGAGACTTCCAGCCTTCTAATCCCTTTCAGCTCCCACAGAGCTGAAACCTTCTCAGCTATTTTCTCCCAGACAGATAATGACTGCTGGATCCATCCTTCTCCATCTATGTTTAATTGAAAACTCCTGTGAAGATTTTGATTACTCAGCGTAAGCCCCCAAAATTCTGTCTCTAGGGTATTCTTAGTGAATTAATTACTAAAGAATAAACAATTAGCTTCCCCCCCAATGAAGCAGTAGTCTCTGGGTTGTGGTAAGAGCAGCAGGTAAATCCTGAGGAGAAGATACACCACTGACCGAACTCTGGGAGGAGGATTTTGTCATGGTGGAGAACCCCATATTTATCAGTATTATTGTTTGATGAATGTGTTTTGAGTACTAGTGGGCACAAAAGGGGTGTATTTAGTTTGAAAAAAGGTTTTACATTTTTAAACAGTTTCCATTACTCGAAGCAGAGTGCAAAAACAACTTGCACAGTCGACAACCAATAAATAAAGAATGCAAATTGGCCTTCTTGGCCCCCACTTCCTTGCCTGCACAGCCCTTGGCCTGCCCACAAATCTGAAAAATAGCTCTGCCAAGATCACACACACACACACACCCGCATGAAAAGGGAGAGAACGTTACCTGTGAATTGAAGCAGACGGTGTAATAGGAAGGTCAGCGTTCCCTTTACAGGAAGCACCACTTGGGCCGAGAATACTGATGATGTTCTCCCTGGCTGTGCGTGCAAAATAATTCATCCTTTCTGTGTCTGCTTTCTAGGATCCCAGGAAACTCCTTTTTGCCACAGGTAAGTCAGCAAAGCTTCCTCAGAATTGTGTGGAATCGGCAAAAAATTTCCAGGCTGCGTTTTGCAAAATCAGGAACGGGACTATTTTCTTTTTTTTACCACTGTTCTTGGAGAGGCACCACACTTTTTCCATTTAACAACATTCCCTGCTGAAACTGGCAGCCCTGCCTGTTTTGTTTTAAATGTCCTTATAAAAATAAACAAGCAAATGAATGAGCGCACAAATAAATTACAGTAGCATTTGTTGCACTTTAAACATGTCACATAGTTGCGGAAGGGAGAAGGATTAACGGAATGGTTTGCCGTACAAATGAAATAAAAGTTCCCAGTTTCCCCCAGATTTGTGTGTTCTCTCTGTGGCTTTCATGCTGCTTGTTTATGCGCAGGATTAATTGGGAACGAGACCCGCTGTGTTCCTAGTGTGCATAAGATTGCAATATTAGCCTAGGATAAATATTAAGGGTTAGAGCCAGACTTAGACAGATTTAAAGAGGCAACCCATGGAAATCAGCTAGCCTGGGATAATTACCAAGGATTGGATCAAGATAAAATTATAAGTAACCTAAATCCCATTGATGTCAGTAGGTCTACTCTGAGTATGGCTGTATCTGGATATTTTCTTCTTCTTTTTGTAAAGCTTACCTTGCACTCTCCTCTCCCATCATACTCGTCGGTCCTACAGTAGAGGTGCTGCTAGTTTTCCTTCCTAGCAGGCACTTGGTAAGAACGCCTGGTGGTATTTGGGGTGGTATCTTTCCTATCTGAAATGTTACGGCAGAGAGACATATAGTATTGAGCCCTTCTGTTCAGAAAAAGTTCAGTAGCAAGTAGAATATTCTGTTCTCGGATGTTCTCTACAAGCTGACCCATCTCTACCTTGGTCAGCGTCTGATCATTTTCAGAAAGATTCCTAGTTATGACTAGACAGGGTGGACGCCGATGCTTTTTTGCATTCTCTGTTTTGCTTTAGGACTCCATTATGCATTTTAATTTACTTATTTATTTAAATGTTTTACTCCACCTTTTTCCTTAAAAAGGGCCCAAGGTGGCTTACATCATTAAAAAACAATATTCAAAGCTTTAAAAAAAGCCAGTGAGTTTGCAAAGGCAGTTTATGTCATTAAAAGACAACATTTAAAACTAAAAACCAGTAAGTATGCAAATATTAAAAAGGAGCAAACAAGTACCACTCTGAGAAATAAATACTAATAATGTTGTTGTTGTTGTTGTCTAGTCGTTAAGTTGTGTCCAACGGTGGAAGTTGGGTGCCACTTTTTTCCCTCCACAACCTCCAGTTTTTGTTGTTATTTAGTCGTGTCCAACATTTAATTGTGTCCAACTCTTCATGACTCCACGGACCAGAGCACACCAGGCCTTCCTGTCTTCCACTGCCTCCCAGAGTTGGGTCAAATTAATGTTGGTTGCTTCGATGACACTGTCCAACCATCTCATCCTCTGTTGTCTCCTTCTCCTCTTGCCTTCACACTTTCCCAACATCAGGGTCTTTTCCAGGGAGTCTTCTCTTCTCATGAGATGGCCGAAGTCCTGGAGCCTGAGCTTCAGGATCTGTCCTTCCAGTGAGCACTCAGGGTTGATTTCCTTCAGAACAGATATCCAAAATGGATAAATAATAATAACATTTATTTAATAAATACATTACTGGGATGTACAGATCTCCTTGGTTCATGTTGGACATTCTTATCCATTGCTTTGATGGGAGGCAAAAGAGCAGTGTGTTCAAGCATGTCAAGCCTTTTCCACTAGAGCTATTTGGCTTGGTTCGTCCCTCTGTCATGAGTTAATCTGTTTTACTAATTGATTACATTTACTTTATGCCTTTCCACTAGAAATAGCACTCAAGATACTAATAACATTTTTAAAAAACAAGCTAAACAATAAAGCATGAAAATCATGCCCCAAGCAAATTAACCATTAAAATCAGTAAACAGCAGAGTAAGGCTACTGTGAAGAGGTGCCTCCACAGGCTTTCTAAAAACAGCAGGAATTTCTGGAAGCAACCATCCCCTGTGGAGAAACACTTTAAAAATACACAGGAGAGGCTTTTCTCCTGTGTATCTGTAAAGTGTTTCTCCACAGGTGATGTAATCCTCCAAGGGGACTCTCTTGAACCCTTTACTATATATAGGCAAGCTGACAATGAAACTGCCTTAGCTGGCCAGATCCCAATGTTTTTAAAGCTAAACACCTTGATTTTGACCCCAGAAGTAATTGATAGTATCAGAGTCTTGTCAAATATCTTAAATGCTGACAAAGAGTCCTTGGAAGAAGCTTTCCTGAACTGCAGCCTTCTTGGTCAGATGAAGTAGGACAGTGGTCCTCAACCTTGGGTAACCCAGGTGTTCTTGGACTGAAATTCCCAAAATATTTCTCCCATCAGGAGGTGTTCTTGGACTGCAGTTCCCAAAATATTTCTCCCATCAACTCTGCTGGCCATGATTCTTGAGGGTTGCAGTCAAAGAACACCTGGTTTATCCAAGATTGAGAACCACTGAAGTAGGCTAAAAAGCAGGGTGGTGAAAGCTGGACAGAGAAGAAAGCTGATGGGGGGCAAAAGCTGATGCATTTGAAATTTGGTGTTGGGGAAGAGCTTTGCAGATACCTTGGACTATGAGAAACACAGAGAAGTAGGTGCTAGATCAAAGTAAGCTTGATCTCTTTGTAGAAGTGAAAACTGAAGGTGTTGTACTTGGGGCACATGACAAAAAAAACAAGACTCTCTGGAAAGGACAGTGATATTAGGGGAACTTGAAGGGAGCTGAAAACTAAACTTGAGATGGATCTGCTCAGTTAAGGAAGCCATAGACCTGTAGTTTTGAAGACCTGAGTAATGTTGCTTATGATAGGACCTTTTGGAGATCAGTAATTCATAGGGTGGCATGGGATGTGGTGGCACTGTGGGTTAAACCGCAGAAGCCTCTGTGCTGCAAGGTCAGAAAACCAGCAGTCGTAAGGTTGAATCCACGCGACGGAGTGAGCTTCCGTTGCTTGTCCCAGCTCCTGCCAACTTAGCAGTTCGAAAGCATGTAAAATGCGAGTAGATAAATAGATAGGAAGGTAACGGCATTCCGTGTCTAGTCATACTGGCCACGTGACGACAGAAACTGTCTTTGGACAAATGCTGGCTCTATGGCTTGGAAACGGGGATGAGCACCGCTCCCTAGAGTTGGACACAACAGGAATAAATTTCATTTGGAACCTTTAACTTTACCTAATTCATAGGGTTGCCATACATCACAAACAACTTGACAGCGCATAAAAATTCCCATCGTTCTGCTAAAAGCTGGAATCTGTGCAATCATAGATAATCTATGCTACTGAGCTCCTTGGAAAAAAAAGTGAGATGCAAATATGATAGCTAAGTTAATACAGTATGTTCTCTGTGCCCTGGATTCACTTCATTGGCATTTTAAGCTTTCTCCAAGAGAAAGTTGAAAGACTTGCAGTTGGAATTCATGAATTAAATTGTGTTTATCCAAATGTAGAATATTCACAGGTCATGCATTATTGCTCTGGTTCCTTTCCTCTGCGATATTTTTTTCATTTCTCAGGCCACCAACTTTGATAACAACATAAATGTCAGTCAGGCGTTTATCCCCCCCCCCTCCTTCTCAGAGCTATATATGGGCTCAATTTCTTCTCTGGAGGTTGAGAGGTAGGCACTTGGGGGCAATGTTGCTGCATTGGTCATTCCAACATCTTTCCCTTTTCACAATTAAATGGATCCATTGATACCCCAAATTTAATGAGCTTGTGCTTTATTTTTTGCCTGATCTCATTTTCATTCTGCGTTACAGAAACGTTTCACCTTCTGTCTCATTTTTTTGTGGAAATTCCAAAGATAGCTATTTAAAGCACAATTCTTGATGACTCACTAGATTAAAAGTAAAGCTTTTGAAAATTACTTTGGGGGTCTTCCCCCCCCAGTCATCTTCAGCCTAGCACGTAGATTTCCTAAGTTTTGATTATAAAGTGGCATAATGTAGACTCTGTGATGAGCCATCAGCTGCCTAGTTTAGATCTTGCCTTGTCCCCTGATTCACAAGGTAAGCAACTATCTTTCCTAGTTAGATTCCACCAGTAATGAGGGCGTAATAAGATCAAGCCACCGGTGCAAACATTTGACTTCTGTAAGTTTTGTAATCCATGTGTAGGCTTATATACATGGAGGTCTGATTCTGTAGCTCCAACTGCCCTAATCTGAACACACTAAAGTAGCTAATTCCCCTAGAGCAGGGTTATCATGTTTACCCATCTCCTCTTCAGATCAATGAGATTTTATCAACAACATCATGTTTACTGACTTGTGTCAGTTGGCTTGGATTTAGACTCCGTTGTGGCTAGAGCAACCCCATGGGAAGGGAATAATCTCAGTTGCATTGTGTCATAGGATTAATATTGATGGCTCTGTGCTGTGTAGGACAAATCCTGTATCACCTAGGTTTTTAGTAGCACCAAGGAGATCTTATGTGCCATTTCACCTAATACACAATATATCAAAATATGTTTTCTTCTAGTTCCTGGGTTAACTGGGGTACTCATGGTTCTGGTGTTATTCCTAATGTCTACAGCTTCTACATATGCCATTAGGTAAGAGTTAAATTGAAATATTTTGCCTATTTCTATCTGAAATAATCATGGCATCCAAAACTCTCCTACAGTCATGGCTAAAAATATTGGCAGCCTTGCAATTCTGTCAGAAAATACAACCCTTCTCTCAGAAAATTGTTGCAGTTGCAAATGTTTTGGTACTCACCTGTTCATTTCTTTGGTTTGCGTTGGAACAACACAAAAACACAGAGAAGAAAAGTCAAATCTGATACAATCCCACACAGAAACCCAAAAATGCACTGGCCAAAATTATTGGCACCCTTAACTTAATATTTGCTAGCACCCCCTTTGGAAAAAATAACTGAAATCAATCATTTCCTGTAACCATGAACAAGTTTCTTACACCTCTCTACAGTGGTGCCTCGCTTACCAAGCGCCCCATTTAACGACGAATCCGCATAGTGATTTGTTTTTTGCGATTGCAAAAGCAATTGCATTGCGATCTTTTTAAAGGCAAAAAATCGCTTTGTGATGATCAGTAAGCTGTTTCGCTTACCAATTTTCGCATAGTGATGTTTTAAAAACA